CTGTGATATCTTGCTAACTTTTTCTGTTTGAAGTATGGAGTGGGTTACATGTTACTTCCAAATAAAGGACTAACCAATCGTATATGGTGCTTTGTTTATCTTTTTAATATAATCACACCATCAACATCAATAACATTATTCTTCTTTGTAGCATGTATTTGATATTAATATATAAATAATAAATAAATAAATAAACAATTGCAAGGGTGTTACCAACATTGTTAAAAAAGAAACGAAGTTTTCAGATAATATTTAAAATCCAAAATGCAAAAATATTCCTGAATTTATTCATTCAATTCATTCAATTTATTCCACAGAATTTAATTGGTGTGTAAAAACTTTAACTATTGGTTTTTTTTTTTAGTTTTATTTTAGTAATGATATTAGAGTTACCAATGCCATTTCATTGCATTCATGGAGGAAATATTACATATTTCTATGTTTAAATTAATCGGTAACAGGCATGCTTGTATCCAATTCGATTTATTCTATTAGTAGAATTACAGAAGGGTTGTTTTTTTTCAGGCTGGCAGCGTAAAGGGGTTAAAACCTAATTTTGTAATAATTATCTTGACTAAACTTGACCAAACCTAACTTTAACATATGACTAAATAGTTTAGTCAATTTAGCAAGTGCTCATTTGAGTTACGCGATTTTTTTTTCGCAAAATGTGAAATAGGTGGAAATCTATATATGCACTCACAAGTATACATATCATTTTGGTGTCAATTGCTGGATCATTGAATATTTATAATTTTTTTTTACACAAAGAAATTAATTAAATTAAAAAACCTGTCATACATATCTTTGGGTGAAATTATTATTACCAGATTGGGTATCTATGTGTTTGGGTACAAAATTCTGATCGACTAATTTGAATTTCATGATAATAATCATAGTAGTAGAGTTCTACTACTACTACACCACGACAGGCACATGTAAGATAACCCAACAGTCACAGCTGCAATTACAACACCGTGACCGGCAGTGACAGAATCAGGGAGAAAGGAAGGGAAAGAGAGATGCGAGAGGTTTGCAGAAAGCTGTTGCGTGCAGCGGAAGATAAGCTTTTATTGATTTTGGGAAATTCCAATTGTGCCAAGCCAAATAACCATTATGTTGGTGTAACTTGCTGATTAACATTCATATGTTCAATAGTGATTGATTGTTTAATAGAAACATATGAAAATTATTCGACACTTGATTGGAGTGTGGTAAGTCTGTTGAATCTTTGTTTTATTCTTGATAGAATATTTTAACAAATGTTACAAAGAACAATCATTGAAATCCAAAGAGGGTGTATTATCAAATAATAATAAATAAATTTGAAGCACTTCAAGTATTATAAACGCGTCATGTTTTTTTTGATGAATTATAAAAGATGTCAATTATTCAGACAAAACATAAATCAAAAACCAAGGTCCAAAAACGCAAAGATTGTTAATGCGAATTTGCCTATTTTGACACAAAACAAACTTGGACAAGTAATGTGAATGTAATTTATTTAATTTTTAACAGCAAAAATCAAAATAATTCATATTTCTTCTTCAATTAGATATAATATATATATAAAATGCATATTAATGAGTCAGCAATGAACGATATGGAAAATTAAGATTTGGAATCCAAGTTTCAACAATTTTAATTTAGTGATTTTATCATTTATAAATAATAAAACATTTACAAATGTCTAATTATGAATTTTACAAAATTATTTTATCATTAAAGAATATATATTATAAATCACAATTGATGATAAACAGATGATTTATGAAGAATTACAGAGTATTCAAAATAAAAACTTGGGAAAAATAAAATCTTCGGCAGAACTTGCTTAATCGAGAAATCATCAGCCACTGCTTTTATAGCTGCTGGTGATTATGTCACCACCATCACCATTGTTAGTGCTTCATCTTCTTTAAAATTTACAACTGCAAATGTTTTAATAAATCATTTAACACAAATTGATCAACATAACAAAAACAATAAGAACAATGATGATAAATTCTGTTATGAGAATCCTTGGATTTAATTAATTAATATATTCATTAAAATATATTTTTACAATGTTTAAATTAGTAAAATATTCACAAGTATATAATATATATATAATATAATATAAACTTTAAATAATTCCTTAATTTTCATAAAATAAACTATGAACTTTATTACGATTCCATTGTGTGACTCCATTAGGAAACCATAATGCTATTTCTTTTTCTGCATTTTCAACAGAATCAGATCTGTAATCAATCAATAATGGTGAATTATTAAAAACTATATATATATAAATTAAATATATTTAATAAACAAAATCAAAAATCTTACCCATGACACATGTTACGACCAACTACAAATATCATTAATAGAATAAAAATATATCAAAGTAAATAAATAGAATTAAATTTAAATCATTAATTAATTAATCAAAATAATTTTAACCTTCTATACAGTAATCTCCGCGAATGGTGCCAGGTGCAGATTTCAAAGGATCAGTTTCACCCAACATACGACGTCCAGTTTTCACTGCATCTTTACCTTCCCAGACCATACCAACCACAGGTCCAGACAAAATATCTGTAACATTCACAACAAAAATATAATTTATTACACACACATTAAAACATAACATTATTAAAAAGTGATACAAATGGCTAACATTGCAAAAGTCCCGGAAAAAATGGCTTCTCTCTCAAATCTGCGTAATGTTCTTTAATAAGCTCTTCTGTTGGCTTTTTTTCCCAAGAAAGATATATTAATCATAGAAATTTTATACTTGTAATTCAAAAGTTGTCGATTATTAATACATACTTTCAAAAGTTGAAGAGCAATAAGTTTGTATCCTTTGATTTCAAAACGTTTAATAATTTCACCAACTAAACCACGTTCAACACCATCAGGCTAAATAAATTTATTTTTAATCAAGAATATTTGTCTGACTTGATAATTATTTTTACTTTTATTTTTATTTTACCTTAACCATAATATAAGTACGTTCCATTTTTTTAAGTTTTAAAAAAAAAAAATATAAAAATTTTTTTTTTTGCTAGTGTTACAACATTCGTTTATCATGATGATCATCCTTCAAAATCACAAAATTTTATTGGCTTGAACAAAATTTATATATAACTAAAGGTCGAAGCTAAAATAGTGTTCAAAGTCGAATTTATTAATAAAAAATAATTATTAATTTAAAATTATTACAAACAATTAAAATCCTTATCATCATTAAAATGTCAAGTTTTGGATTGTGGGTCAAACAAAGATTTACACTTGGTGCTAAAAAAAATCTGAAGAAAAAGAGACATTATGTATAATTATATTGGTGATAAAATCTGTCTTAAACGTTATTTGAGGATGCTTGCAACAAAACCCAACAAATATTACAGGGATTAAAAACATCACAATTTTACCTTGTTCTAAATGCACATTTACTATTCCTTACAATTTACATTTTACTTAATTCCACACTTGCATTTTTCGGAACCAGTAGCAAGACAAATAAAGCTAAATTAGTTAAAAAATGAAGGCACTAAAAGTCAGTGATAATACTTGTTTAAGAAATTTTTTTGGTTGAGCAGTATCAGCATTGATCCAATCTAAACAAGAAAACAAAGGATCCAATAATTTCTCAGTTTCATGAGTAGTAGTGATAAAATATCAAAATTTTCAACACATATTCTTTAATAAACTAAAAACTAGAATCATCATCATTATTTCTTTTTCAAATTATTTTCTTCTGATAATACTTACCCTTTTGAATCTGCAAGTTCAGCATGGTATCTTTTTCTTTCAAATCGCGAAGCCATTTTTTGTAAAGGGTGGGTGATTATTATATACAGAAAGGTTCTTTTTGTGAAATATACGAAATATACGAAATATACAGACCTAAATGACAAATAAAAATTAACTTTTAGAGTTGGTAAACACTCTGTAGCCCATTACTGATATTGTAAATGGGGTTCGCTGGGCACCTTTTACCAAGTCCCTGAAATTTTGCTAATACAAAAGTTCACTGTGCCCCAATAAAATTTTTGTAGAAGCTTGAAAAGAATAATAACGCGTTGATATTATTTTTGAATTAAATGACAAAAAATACCAAAAAAATTTTTTAGGCACATATTCGAATTAGACATATTAAAAATTTATTCTGACATAAAAATCTCAATTAAACTAACATTACTCAACAACTCCACATCCAACTTGTTGGGAAAAAAACCAATATAAATAAATCTCAAGTGAATCCTTATAATAAAGAATTTACAAAGAATACCAAAAGCCAAAAGGCTCCAGAAAGAATAACTAAAGAAACTACGGAGTTAGATCCTCCCAATCAAACAAATGTGCATGAAAATAAGGAACTAGAAACAATGAATGAAATTGAAAATGATAGCAATCAGGAAATGCAAGAAGAACATAGTAATAATATTAAAAATAATAACAGTCAAAAATCCAATAAAGACAAAACAGAAGAAACTGCTGGAAATCAATGGGTTAAAATTGAAAAGAAAACTCATTACAAAGCTTCTATAGAAATAGACAACTTGAACACAAAAAATATTAATAGAAAATGTCATTTAGTAGAAAATAAATTATCAGAATTAGGTAAAGAATATAACTAGAAAGGTAATCGAAAAAATGGTAGAACAAGAATTGGGAACAATTATTAAAATCAAAACAAGAACATCAGGCCCATGGAGAATAGCTGATGTAGAGTTAAAAGAAGAATTGGATGAGAATACAATTTTAAACCAATGGTCAATAAGGATTCAAAAAGATGATGTTAAAATGCCATAAATAAAGAACAAATCCAAACTAGAGAAAATTTACAATGAAATTAACAAACCTGTCCTTTGGCACCACAATGTATGATTTGGAAGACATATCCAAAGCAACTAATGCCAAAATGGTAATAATTCCAAGACCAAATGTAAGATTTGGAATTTGTGCCTTTTTTGATGTACAAATTAATTTTATTTTGGATTTGGGAATCACGATTTTTAATTGAGTGACATCTATATTTAAAATGGTAACATGGGTGGAAACTTATATTTAAACTATTTCACTTGTTCCTTGAGCATATAGGCTAATCTGACTAGTGTGATCTTATGGTACAACAATGTGATTAAACTTTCAGGGACATGGCCTTGAAATATATCAAAATATGTGAAATTATATGCAATAAAATATTTATTATTAATATTAATAATGAAATAAAATAAAAAACAATATAAGTGAAGAAATAAAAAAAATTTGTGAATCATATCAAATATTGGACTCCAAATAACTTTTTGATTTGCAGCTTCATCGAGCACCATTTCTTTGATATGCCTTCATTTGTTCTTCTATTGATCCCAAGATCACAAAGTTCTTTACATGATATTTTTTATTAAAGACATACTTTAACAATATTGCTACTTCTTGATCTGACCATTTGATTCTTGCTCCTGATACTATATGTAGTGGAGTTCAGGGTTGGAAAATGTACAGTCCATTGATGGTCCATTGGTGGTCCATTGGGACCATTAGTGTAACACTTTAACCATATTTAGTATTTTATTAATGGCAATGGACCAGTCCAAAATCCATCTGTTCTCAATGGACCAGTCAATTTGCCAACCCTGAGTGGAGTTCCATCTTCTATAAAGCTCAGTTCTTCCTCATCAGCTTCATTTGTTTGATAATTTTCATTATTTATTATGAGTACAACTGCTCTATCCTCAATTTGCATTTGACTGGCCACCACAATCACTTCTCTATGATTCTCCTCTTCCTCTTCTACTTCCTCTTCATCACGAGAATTTTGAATTTCATCACACTTTATAAAAAGTTTATTTCTAGAAAAAATTTTTTTTAATATTTAATTTAAATGTTTTCAAAAAAAATTTTAAAAGAAAAAAAATTTTTAAAATATTACCTTTTATTTTTTAAAGCTTTATCAATGAATCCACTTTTTCCACTACCAGTAGGACCCAATAATACAATAAATGTTTCTATTTAACAAAAATATATATTTATATATTTATAGAAGGGAGAAAAAAATATCAATAAATCAAATAAATGAAAATAAACCTGGTGGTTCTTTCAACCAAATATTTAATTTTATTTCTTCTTGTTCTCTTTCAACCCAATTACTAAGATAAGATAATGAATTATCTTCATTTTTATTACGGTAAGTTAATAATCTGTCAATAGTTTCACGTCTAAGCCATTGATAAATACGATATTCTTGAGGGTTGAATCGTTGTGTGATTTTTGAAGTTATAAAAAAGGTTCGAATCGGATCAAAGCTATTTTGTTTTAAAAAATATTTAAAAAATTAAAATATGCACATAATTTGATCGATAATAATTTATGAGTTTATAGATTACATTGTGTAAGTAATACCAGCAATAGCAGCTGCTATTAATGGTATCTAAAAAGACAAAATAAATAAAATATTAAAAAAAGACAAAAAGAATGAGGATTGTACTCATTAATTAAAGATTAATGAAAAAAATTTTTTTTACCGAAGTTCTTGGATGTGCAATCATCCAGCTATATATCATATTTGATTTCTATAAAGATTAAAATTTTCTTAATTTAATATCTTCTTTTTCCTCATTGTAAGATAACCCAACAGTCACAGCTGCAATTACAACACCGTGACCGGCAGTGACAGAATCAGGGAGAAAGGAAGGGAAAGAGAGATGCGAGAGGTTTGCAGAAAGCTGTTGCGTGCAGCGGAAGATAAGCTTTTATTGATTTTGGGAAATTCCAATTGTGCCAAGCCAAATAACCATTATGTTGGTGTAACTTGCTGATTAACATTCATATGTTCAATAGTGATTGATTGTTTAATAGAAACATATGAAAATTATTCGACACTTGATTGGAGTGTGGTAAGTCTGTTGAATCTTTGTTTTATTCTTGATAGAATATTTTAACAAATGTTACAAAGAACAATCATTGAAATCCAAAGAGGGTGTATTATCAAATAATAATAAATAAATTTGAAGCACTTCAAGTATTATAAACGCGTCATGTTTTTTTTGATGAATTATAAAAGATGTCAATTATTCAGACAAAACATAAATCAAAAACCAAGGTCCAAAAACGCAAAGATTGTTAATGCGAATTTGCCTATTTTGACACAAAACAAACTTGGACAAGTAATGTGAATGTAATTTATTTAATTTTTAACAGCAAAAATCAAAATAATTCATATTTCTTCTTCAATTAGATATAATATATATATAAAATGCATATTAATGAGTCAGCAATGAACGATATGGAAAATTAAGATTTGGAATCCAAGTTTCAACAATTTTAATTTAGTGATTTTATCATTTATAAATAATAAAACATTTACAAATGTCTAATTATGAATTTTACAAAATTATTTTATCATTAAAGAATATATATTATAAATCACAATTGATGATAAACAGATGATTTATGAAGAATTACAGAGTATTCAAAATAAAAACTTGGGAAAAATAAAATCTTCGGCAGAACTTGCTTAATCGAGAAATCATCAGCCACTGCTTTTATAGCTGCTGGTGATTATGTCACCACCATCACCATTGTTAGTGCTTCATCTTCTTTAAAATTTACAACTGCAAATGTTTTAATAAATCATTTAACACAAATTGATCAACATAACAAAAACAATAAGAACAATGATGATAAATTCTGTTATGAGAATCCTTGGATTTAATTAATTAATATATTCATTAAAATATATTTTTACAATGTTTAAATTAGTAAAATATTCACAAGTATATAATATATATATAATATAATATAAACTTTAAATAATTCCTTAATTTTCATAAAATAAACTATGAACTTTATTACGATTCCATTGTGTGACTCCATTAGGAAACCATAATGCTATTTCTTTTTCTGCATTTTCAACAGAATCAGATCTGTAATCAATCAATAATGGTGAATTATTAAAAACTATATATATATAAATTAAATATATTTAATAAACAAAATCAAAAATCTTACCCATGACACATGTTACGACCAACTACAAATATCATTAATAGAATAAAAATATATCAAAGTAAATAAATAGAATTAAATTTAAATCATTAATTAATTAATCAAAATAATTTTAACCTTCTATACAGTAATCTCCGCGAATGGTGCCAGGTGCAGATTTCAAAGGATCAGTTTCACCCAACATACGACGTCCAGTTTTCACTGCATCTTTACCTTCCCAGACCATACCAACCACAGGTCCAGACAAAATATCTGTAACATTCACAACAAAAATATAATTTATTACACACACATTAAAACATAACATTATTAAAAAGTGATACAAATGGCTAACATTGCAAAAGTCCCGGAAAAAATGGCTTCTCTCTCAAATCTGCGTAATGTTCTTTAATAAGCTCTTCTGTTGGCTTTTTTTCCCAAGAAAGATATATTAATCATAGAAATTTTATACTTGTAATTCAAAAGTTGTCGATTATTAATACATACTTTCAAAAGTTGAAGAGCAATAAGTTTGTATCCTTTGATTTCAAAACGTTTAATAATTTCACCAACTAAACCACGTTCAACACCATCAGGCTAAATAAATTTATTTTTAATCAAGAATATTTGTCTGACTTGATAATTATTTTTACTTTTATTTTTATTTTACCTTAACCATAATATAAGTACGTTCCATTTTTTTAAGTTTTAAAAAAAAAAAATATAAAAATTTTTTTTTTTGCTAGTGTTACAACATTCGTTTATCATGATGATCATCCTTCAAAATCACAAAATTTTATTGGCTTGAACAAAATTTATATATAACTAAAGGTCGAAGCTAAAATAGTGTTCAAAGTCGAATTTATTAATAAAAAATAATTATTAATTTAAAATTATTACAAACAATTAAAATCCTTATCATCATTAAAATGTCAAGTTTTGGATTGTGGGTCAAACAAAGATTTACACTTGGTGCTAAAAAAAATCTGAAGAAAAAGAGACATTATGTATAATTATATTGGTGATAAAATCTGTCTTAAACGTTATTTGAGGATGCTTGCAACAAAACCCAACAAATATTACAGGGATTAAAAACATCACAATTTTACCTTGTTCTAAATGCACATTTACTATTCCTTACAATTTACATTTTACTTAATTCCACACTTGCATTTTTCGGAACCAGTAGCAAGACAAATAAAGCTAAATTAGTTAAAAAATGAAGGCACTAAAAGTCAGTGATAATACTTGTTTAAGAAATTTTTTTGGTTGAGCAGTATCAGCATTGATCCAATCTAAACAAGAAAACAAAGGATCCAATAATTTCTCAGTTTCATGAGTAGTAGTGATAAAATATCAAAATTTTCAACACATATTCTTTAATAAACTAAAAACTAGAATCATCATCATTATTTCTTTTTCAAATTATTTTCTTCTGATAATACTTACCCTTTTGAATCTGCAAGTTCAGCATGGTATCTTTTTCTTTCAAATCGCGAAGCCATTTTTTGTAAAGGGTGGGTGATTATTATATACAGAAAGGTTCTTTTTGTGAAATATACGAAATATACGAAATATACAGACCTAAATGACAAATAAAAATTAACTTTTAGAGTTGGTAAACACTCTGTAGCCCATTACTGATATTGTAAATGGGGTTCGCTGGGCACCTTTTACCAAGTCCCTGAAATTTTGCTAATACAAAAGTTCACTGTGCCCCAATAAAATTTTTGTAGAAGCTTGAAAAGAATAATAACGCGTTGATATTATTTTTGAATTAAATGACAAAAAATACCAAAAAAATTTTTTAGGCACATATTCGAATTAGACATATTAAAAATTTATTCTGACATAAAAATCTCAATTAAACTAACATTACTCAACAACTCCACATCCAACTTGTTGGGAAAAAAACCAATATAAATAAATCTCAAGTGAATCCTTATAATAAAGAATTTACAAAGAATACCAAAAGCCAAAAGGCTCCAGAAAGAATAACTAAAGAAACTACGGAGTTAGATCCTCCCAATCAAACAAATGTGCATGAAAATAAGGAACTAGAAACAATGAATGAAATTGAAAATGATAGCAATCAGGAAATGCAAGAAGAACATAGTAATAATATTAAAAATAATAACAGTCAAAAATCCAATAAAGACAAAACAGAAGAAACTGCTGGAAATCAATGGGTTAAAATTGAAAAGAAAACTCATTACAAAGCTTCTATAGAAATAGACAACTTGAACACAAAAAATATTAATAGAAAATGTCATTTAGTAGAAAATAAATTATCAGAATTAGGTAAAGAATATAACTAGAAAGGTAATCGAAAAAATGGTAGAACAAGAATTGGGAACAATTATTAAAATCAAAACAAGAACATCAGGCCCATGGAGAATAGCTGATGTAGAGTTAAAAGAAGAATTGGATGAGAATACAATTTTAAACCAATGGTCAATAAGGATTCAAAAAGATGATGTTAAAATGCCATAAATAAAGAACAAATCCAAACTAGAGAAAATTTACAATGAAATTAACAAACCTGTCCTTTGGCACCACAATGTATGATTTGGAAGACATATCCAAAGCAACTAATGCCAAAATGGTAATAATTCCAAGACCAAATGTAAGATTTGGAATTTGTGCCTTTTTTGATGTACAAATTAATTTTATTTTGGATTTGGGAATCACGATTTTTAATTGAGTGACATCTATATTTAAAATGGTAACATGGGTGGAAACTTATATTTAAACTATTTCACTTGTTCCTTGAGCATATAGGCTAATCTGACTAGTGTGATCTTATGGTACAACAATGTGATTAAACTTTCAGGGACATGGCCTTGAAATATATCAAAATATGTGAAATTATATGCAATAAAATATTTATTATTAATATTAATAATGAAATAAAATAAAAAACAATATAAGTGAAGAAATAAAAAAAATTTGTGAATCATATCAAATATTGGACTCCAAATAACTTTTTGATTTGCAGCTTCATCGAGCACCATTTCTTTGATATGCCTTCATTTGTTCTTCTATTGATCCCAAGATCACAAAGTTCTTTACATGATATTTTTTATTAAAGACATACTTTAACAATATTGCTACTTCTTGATCTGACCATTTGATTCTTGCTCCTGATACTATATGTAGTGGAGTTCAGGGTTGGAAAATGTACAGTCCATTGATGGTCCATTGGTGGTCCATTGGGACCATTAGTGTAACACTTTAACCATATTTAGTATTTTATTAATGGCAATGGACCAGTCCAAAATCCATCTGTTCTCAATGGACCAGTCAATTTGCCAACCCTGAGTGGAGTTCCATCTTCTATAAAGCTCAGTTCTTCCTCATCAGCTTCATTTGTTTGATAATTTTCATTATTTATTATGAGTACAACTGCTCTATCCTCAATTTGCATTTGACTGGCCACCACAATCACTTCTCTATGATTCTCCTCTTCCTCTTCTACTTCCTCTTCATCATCTACTTCTTTTCCTTCATCCATTTCTTCTACATCATCCACTTCTTCTACATCACCCACTTCTTCTACATCATCCACTTCTACATCATCAATTTTTCTACATCATTTATTTCTATTTCATGTCTCTCTCTTCATTATTCACAACCTCTCCCTCTTCATCATAAACATCTTTTAACAGATTAAAAATTTCATCAGGTTGTAATGGCATTTTTATATTTTCGTCTTGAATAAAATCCTTAATCTTATTGTATAAAGCATGTAGGTCAAATAATTAGAATGACAATTTGTGGCAATAACCAACACCACTTTTCTTTTTAATAATCATTAACTAGAGTGACGTTGAGTAATGATGAGTGGTGATAGCCACAACCATAAACACTTATCCAGCAGGAACAAATTCCCTTTGTCATTTATTATTACTTCTGGTGTCTTTTGGCATTTTTAAAGATGTGTTATGAAAAAAAGAAACACGTGAACAAAATATTATTAATTATTATTGGCACTTGGTGTTGCACAAGGAATTTTTTTGGGTGACAGATGCAAATTGGGGGGTTTTTTTTTGGAAAAACATTTATTTTTCAAGGTGAGGAAATGTTAGTGTTGTTGTTTGGTTCTCCTAAGATGTGTTAATAACAGAGGTACTATTTTTTATTTGAATTGATATAATGTGGTGCCTTTTAGTTTATAAATATTTTGATTGGAATCAAAACGCAGAGCAGATCTTTATGGGTAATTATAAGATCCTTATCAAGATGATAATAAATGAACAATTGGTATTTTGCTTTTCGTAATCAGTAATAATATTAATATTAATATAATTAATTACAAGTCAAAACAGCATGACTGAAACAATTCAAATATGAAACAATTCACATTTAAATATGCAATGTTTGATTATTACAATAAAAACACTAAATTAGCAAAGAACAAAGAAAATTAGTTAAAAAAAATTATTTAAAGGGTAAACACCATATTGCAGCATTGATGCCACTGCTCATTATAGTTATGATTGAGCCCAAAATGTTCATGTATCACATTTAGATCAACAAGTAAGTAAAATCTATTACCTTAGTCCATGTAAAGTTCATTTATTTGGTATTCAAGATGAAGCAGTAAGGGAACAAATTAATTATGTTCTTAATGAAGATGAAATTATAGGAAAAGGACCCAATGGCACTCTTAGCATGATTTTTGATGAAATTAAGAAATTGATAAAGGTGAAAAGCATTTAAAGATTACTTGTGATAATGCTGGGGGACAAATAAAAATAATGTAACAATTTGGTTTTATTTGTATTTAGTAATTTGTGGTCAATATTAAAGTATTGAATTAATTTTCATGATTCCTGGGCACACCAAATTCAAATGTGATGGTAGTTTTGGCATGATTAAAAAACTCTACAGAAGAACAAGAGTAGATTGTCTGGATCATGTGGGTTGCAGTGGTAAAAAAGTCTAGTCCAGCGGGATTAAATAAAGCTCAATGTTATGAAGGTGGAAAAGGATTTCAATACTTAGATATTAAAGCTATTTTGGGAATTTATTTTAAGAAATTACCAAGCATTCAGAAATATCAACATTTTCTTTTTGAAGCATCTAATCTTGGTATGGTGAAAGTGCAAGAAGTTGCTAATGGACCTTTTGCTGAATTCAATTTATTGAAAACCAAGAAAACAGATATTTTTGAAGAAATTAGAACTTTATCAATTTTAGTATTAACACCTCCTCCTTTGGATTACAAAAGACAAGAATATCTTTACCAGAATATTTGTCCATTTGTTAGAGATGAATTCAAAGATATTACTTGTCCAAGACCATTCTATACTGACAACAAATAAAATCATTAAGATTAATAAGTTTAATCTTTTGACAAATATGGTTAGCTTTAGAGTAAAAAAGTACTAAAATAAATTTATATACTTAATATGCCCTCATAAAAAGGATATAAGTATATTAAAAAAAGAAGAATAATAATAATAATAAAAATGACAAACCAAAACAACATTTTAACTGAAGAGGAAATAAAAAAACCAATTGGTAGTTTAAACAGAAATCCAGATGAAACAGAGATAAGAGCAGTTATAGATTATTTTTGACTTCGCCCTTATGCCTTAAAACACTTAGAAGACAAAGAATTTAGAAAAAGTTTTGTTCGTCATATTTACTTGCATAAAAATGCACTAAATTGATATGTAAAAGCTAATGAAGAAGTTAAAAGACTACAGCCACTAGCAACTAGTTTAGAGAAAGAGAGGAATGAATTGCTTGAAGAAATTAAGAAATTAGAAGCAAGAGTAGAAGAGTTAGATGATGAAGTATGAATGGAGTGAGAAGAGGCTGAAAAAGCACTAAATAAGGCCATGGAATGGAGAAAATGACAAATGTTTGAAACTGTGTTGAAGCATGATGCTGCAATGGGTAAACTTCAAGACCAAATAGATTTATTAGAAAACAATTTAGCTGCTAAGAATCAGGAAATAAACTGAAAAGATTATTTAGCAATCAAAGAATTACCATCTTTACCAAAGGAACAAAAAGAAAATAGATTGTGCAAACTCAAAAAATTAGTAAATAAGGTAAAAGAAAAAACTAAAGAGAAGTTCCAGACTTTTATTGTTCAAAAGAACAAGTAAGCCAATATGAGATTAGAATATAGAATTCTGGAATTAGCCCAGGGAGATGAACAAGAGTGTAACTTCTGCTTTCTAGATTTTGATGACCCAACTCTCCTTAATTTTGATACTGCTCCTGCTACTCATCAAATGGTGGCTCGTAATACTCCTGATGGTTATTCTGACATTGTCTTTATCTGTGGTGAATGTAAAAAAGATTATGATAATAATACTCTTCCATGATGTGAGAAATGTGGTAGGTTAAAAAGGAATAGAAACAGATGTTTTTGTAGTCATTTAAAAGCTAAATCAACTAAACCACTTTCTGACAAAGAACTACTTTCACAAGCTTTCAGTTTTCGCCTAGAAAATAAAACTAGAGAACTAGAAAAAGAGTTATCAATTACCAAAGAAGAATTAAAAATTGAAAGAGAAGAAGTAACCAAGTTTCAGGAAAAATCTGAAGAGTGAAGTAAAAAGCAAAAACAGGAGTTATTAGATAAGGTAAAGGGTTTAGAAGAAAGAATTAAACAACTAGAAGAGGAAAACAGGAAATTAAAAGATCAACAGAATGGTCAATTAACTGCTCAAATTGAAGTCAAAGAGACTAAAAGATGATCTTGATTGAAAATAAAAAAGTAGTTCTGTATAAATTGAAATTATCAAAGAAAATGGTAGTTATTTTCTTTTTAGAGACTTTTGCTTTTTATTAGGTAATGATGCATCATCATGATGCTTTCTTTTTCTAACATTTATGATTTTTCTTTCTTCATGGTAAATTTCATAAGTAATCCTTTCTTTTTTTAGATAAGCTTCTAGTGTCTGAGTATCATTTATTTTGAAAATATAAGGTGCGATTTTTTCACCTTGTTCCTTTTTTAAAATACTTCTAATGGTACTATAATTCTTAGGTTCCATAGTAGATCTGATATAAATGAGTTTCATATTAACTATTTTTATATAGGAGTAGTTCTATATATCACTTAAGATAACAAATGGGATATTATAAAACTGTTAATTATAATCACATTATGAAATGACTAAATTTTGATCCCTGAAATTCTGATAATATCAATGTTCACTTTGTCTGGTTTTGTTGCAGCATGCCCCATATCCCATTCATTATTTTAAGTGATATATAGAACTATCCCTATACAAAATAGTTAATATGAAACTCATTATATGGGACTTTTCAATTTATCTATAATAATAAGTCAACTATAAAGAGATTTTTCTTTATAGTGGACAAAAATGCCTGGAACCAAATTTCCACTATAACAAGCTTTGACTGTAATCATAAAATTTGATAATGAATTTTTGATAATGATTCAAATAAAATAAGCGATTTTTAGTCAAATGCATTCATTGTTTGACTTTCGGTTTAGGTTTTGAATTTCGGTTTAGGTTTCTAACTTGCAAATGTTTGAAAGTACTTTCGGTGCACTTTCGGTTTCAGCACTACCGAAAAGGGGGGGTTTCAGTGGACATCCCTAAGAAAAAAAAATTGCAGATGATTTGATACTGCAGATGATTTAGTACTGCGAATAATTAGTTGATGTAGATATTATATATTATATTAATAAAGCAATATCTTAAAAAAATCATTTTAATTTGACGATTCTTTTGAACGCTGGTGTCCCAAGTGTTGGTCGATGCCATGTTTTGAACTTATTATTCTCAGGGTCTTCTTCATTCTTATTTATTGCCAAAAGGATTTCCTTCACCATTTGTTCATATGCCAGCTAGAGAACAGTTTTGAATTAGTCAGTTTATACAGAATTGACAAGTAATATTAAATATTTTTTAGTAGTTATACCTCGAATGCACGCAGTGTATCCAATCCATTTAAAAACATACAGCATGTTTCAAAAGATCTTGGCAATTCCACATTAACACCAGTATCTATCATAAGATAGACTCCAGGAGAAATTAATGTCATTAAATAACCGGTCCACTCTGTCACTATTTATTACATAGAGGGTTATTAATTAGATAGAATAAGACAAATTTTCTTGAAGACCAGCTTACCGATGACTTGCCAAGCAAAAACACGATTAATATCATTTTTTTGTAGAATAATATCTAGCGAGTCCTTCATAAATAATCCCAACCTAATCAGATCAATTAGGTTTTTCTTTTCCATGTTGTTCTTACCCTCGCCTGTTACTTCTCCAAACATCGCTTCATAAACAAATTTTTCTATTTATGTTAAAGAAAGAATTAGAAAACTGGGTTTTATTTGTGTTTTTTTTTATAAATACCATTATTGACAATCTTCCCGATCATATCAGGTTGTTTAGCCCAAGAAGGATCGCCAGAAGCAAGCTTTCGGACCTTTGCACTGGTACTGGACGTGTTTGGCCAAATTGTCAGATATATAGTGCAAGACACCTAGTCCCACAACTTTTTATTGTCCTTGTAGATCCTTCTCTAACTCCAAAAATGGAAATGTA